CTGGAGAGAAGCCTGGACTCCCTGGGGGACATCTTCCCGGACTCCGGCCGGAAGACCCGCTCTGCTCGTCGACGGACTACACAGATCATCAACATCACCATGACCAAGGTCAGGCTCGGGGGCGTGGGGCTGCAGGACATTAATGCTCATGCCTTCTTAAGGGCATCTTTCCAGTGGGTCCTCAAAATAGCCGCAGGGCTGACCAGCCCGTATCTTACAGAAGGAAAAGCTGAAATTCTGAGAAGGACCTGTTTTGTAGAAAAGGGCAGGACTGTAAGTAGATGCCTGTCTGCTGACTGTAAGGCTGGTGTCGTCTCCATGTGCAGCACTGACCCTGTACAGGCTGAAGGGAGAGAATATGGAGAAGTTGCAGCCGAACCTGTGCTTCCCAGCACATCCCCGGGGGAGCCGAGATGTGTTGTGGCCGCCAGGGGGCTGCCTGCCAGCCTGAGGGCTCTGGCCCGTTTCCACATCCCAAGGTTAGGGAGGCGGGGGTGCGTTTGGGGCAGCAGGGACACCTCTGGGTACAGGGTGGCCTCTGCTACCAAGATCTGGAAAAGCTCTAAAAGATGGTCAGACCCTGCAAGCGTGGGCCAGGGACGCAGAGGCCGTGGGATGATCATGACCAGCTCAGGAGTCATGAGAGCTCTGGTTCTCCCACTTCCTAGCTGTTTGACGTTTGGGCCAGTTACTTCATTTCTTTGTACTTCACTTCTGAAGTAGTCCAATATACTCTGCCTTCCTCCCTCAAAGCAGTGAGACTTAGTGGGGGAAATGGGTAGAAAAGAGTCGATAACCTCAGCACCTTGTGTGGATTCTGGCAGCAAGCTCCATTTCTTGCAGACGTCCAGGTAAGAACTCTTGCAAAGCAGTATGGGAACACACAGCCGTGTAGCAGGGTCTGAGGGGCTTTAGGAGGGGAACAGTGGAGGCTCCTTTATAGAATGCCAGGTGCCCACTCAACCCACTACAACAGATCGTCCTTTCTTCCAGAAGTCAGATGTGGAAGATCCAGACAGCGCCAACTCCTCCTTCTATAGCACGCAGTCTGCCCCTGTTTCCCAGGCCGGCCCAAGAGCCACCTCCTCCACCCAATCTCTAGCCCGCCTGAGCTCTCCCGATGATGGCAACTCTGCTCTGCTCAGCCTGCCTGGATACCGGCCCACTACTCGCAGCTCTGCTCGCCGCTCCCAGGCTGGGGTGTCCAGTGGGGCCCCTCCAGGTAGGGACTGTTCCCTAACCCAACCCAAATATTAGACTGGAAGCAGATCCTGGCACAGGGAAATAACAAGCATTTAAAAACCCACGGCTAGCTTCCTGGCTGCCTTGTCTGTCCAAGGGAGAATCAGAAATGCTCACATAACGGGCCTGGGATTCCCAGCATGACAGTGAAGCTCAGAAGCTATAGGGAGTGCTTTTCAGGCGGTGAGAGTCTGCCAAAGGGCCAAGCTGGCAAGTTTTACCCTCAGATTCTACTGGGAGGTTCTTGTCCTTTGGAGATCCCCTGGGTATAAATTCCCGGCCCTCGAGGCTTTTCTCTCGGTGTCATGGCCCGTGTGACCTCTCCAGGGAGAATGCAGTGAGGCAGCTCCTGCATCTGCAGCTCTGAGCAGAGCAGGACTCTAGGATACTGGGCTTGAAGTCCACGGGGGAGGTGGACAGGATGGTGGCAGCAAAGGCTGGCGAGATACCAGGGCCAGTGGGCAACCTGCTGCCTCCACCTTCACTCTTCCAGCCCCACTTGCTCAAATATCCCTGCCCTCCCCCCCCCCCCCCCCCCCCTTTAGGAAGGAACAGCTTCTACATGGGCACTTGTCAGGATGAGCCCGAGCAGCTGGATGACTGGAACCGCATTGCAGAGCTGCAGCAGCGCAACCGCGTTTGCCCCCCGCACCTGAAGACCTGCTACCCCCTGGAGTCCAGGGTGAGCCCTGGGGTCACCTGCCTGGGACTTGCCTGCACTGGCCCGCCCCTTCCTCTCAGCATCCCACCTCAGTGCCACTTGCTGACTCATCTCAAGTAATAGTGCCCTTGGTCTCTGGCCTCCTGAGGAGGGAGACTAGATACTTCTAGAAGAATAGCTGTAAGGGAGGGAGTCAGGGGTGAAGTTCCTGTGGGTGGGCAGGAGATAGAGGTTTGCCTGGGACTCCTCTTCTGTGGCCATTGTGCCAGGGAAGACAACAGGCCTCTTGCGACATGAAGCCTTCAGCTGTCCCATGTGCCAGGCCAGTGAAGAGAATCCGGGCCAGCCTGGGTCCACTGACCACTTCCCCCTCACACAGCCTTCCCTGAGCCTGGCCACCATCACAGACGAAGAGATGAAAACGGGTGACCCCCAGGAGACCCTGCGCCGAGCCAGCATGCAGCCGACCCAGATAGCCGAGGGCACGGGCATCACCACCCGGCAGCGCAAACGTGTCTCCACGGAGCCCCACCAGGGCCCTGGCACTCCTGAGGTAGGAGACGTTAGCTCACAGCCTGCCAGGTCAGCGCACCACGTTTGAAAAGTAGGTTAAGGGGGAGGCTTCTGGCCCTTGGGGGTGGGGTGAGAGGTACTGCTGATGGGACCAGTTGATTCATAGGTCCTCTCACTCGAGATACCTGGCTTTGGATGTGAAGTCCTCTTGCTGATGTCTGCCTATCGGCCTCTTCCCAATAGTCTAAGAAGCCCACCAGCTGTTTCCCACGCCCCATGACTCCCCGGGACCGACACGAAGGGCGCAAACAGAGCACCACGGAGGCCCAGAGAGCAGCTCCCACTGTTAAACAGGTAAGTTGGGGGCTGAAGGGAGACCCTAGAGCAGCAGGTTGGCCTGGGAAAGCAGCAGTGAGCCTCATTTGACAGCCCCTCCCCACAGGCTGATCGCCGCCAGTCTATGACCTTCAGCATCCTCAACACGCCCAAGAAGCTTGGGAACAGCCTTCTGCGGAGGGGGGCCTCAAAGAAAGCCCTGCCCAAGGCCTCTCCCAACGCCAGCAGTGGAACCCGTCGCTCCCCTCGCATTGCCACCACCACAGCCAGCGCTGCCACTGCTGCTGCCATCGTCGCCGCCACTTCTCGGGCCAAGGGCAAGGTGGAGGCACTGACAGGGAAGAGGGAGGGTTTAACTCTCAGGGCCCCAGAGGGAGTATGGGGCCGCTTCCAGGGCAGGCCAGGCCTGCTGGGGGCTGAGAGGTGCTCCTGGTACTTGGTCAGTGGCTTAATATTGAGGAGAGGAGGCAGACAACTCTACTCCTGAGAAAATCCAGAGTTGCTTAGAAACATCTAGCAACTGGTAGTCTGAAGGTAGATCTGTCCAGAGCTGCACCATGGAAGGGATCCTAGTCAGGACTATGGGAGCGGAAAGATGTCTTCCTAAGCCAGCTGATGATATCACAGCCACATGACCGTTTCTCTCTTTCAGGCAAAGCACTAAAGGACCAGTACCAGTGAGTTGGCCCCGCCCGTGTCCCTGATGCTGCCCTGCCTGATGCTGTCCCCCTCAGTGCCTTCTCTCAGCTTCCAGGCCAACCGTGGCCAAACCCCTAGAGACAGTGATGCCTGACACACCTGGGCCTGGTATCTGGACCTTTACGAGAGCCTTCACTAGGTGAACAGATGTCGTCAGAATGAGCCTGAACAGTGTGGGTCCTCTCCCTACTTTGCCTCCTGTTTTCACAAAGCAAAGTCACTTCTCCATGACAACGAGATCTGAGGCTGGCTTTGAGGACTGGGTCCTTGGGCCCAGCCAGTTCTCCTCAGCCTCTGTATTTAGAAGGGACCATTGGAGGAGCAGGCCCCGGTCCCTGCTGTTCCTGGTGGCGAGGCTTACCAAGGGCCCTTGTTGAAAGTCTGTGGCATTGACCTGGTGGGAGCCCCTGAGGATAAGGTGCTCCCATCCATCCAAGGGCACAGTTCCCAGAGGATGCTCTTTTCCAAGACAGCCAGGTGGGGGAGGGTGGGGACAGCTCACCCCCCACCTTCTCTAGACTTGTACTGGGTGGGATTTGGATTGATGGGAAGGTTTTTAAGGGCCAGGAATGGATCTTTTCTAAATGTTATTACTTGTAAATAAAGTCTATTTTTCTCCCTTGGCTGCTAAGCTGCCTGATCTGTGTGGGAAAAGGGAAAGCTGGGCTTGTTAGAGCATACCTCTGTTCCTGCTCAGTCTTCAGACCACCTACCTTCTTTCAAGTCCCTTCTCCCGGCCTCTGCTCATGAAGCAGTTTGGGAGGTCTTTTTCTGAGGGCCTGTGTCCCCTGAACCTGGTTTTGTCTTTAACTTCTGAGTGGTACTCTTCCCATAGTCCCTTTTAGAATGGGCCAAGTTCTGTGAATGGGAGAATGGCCTAAATCAGAAGTCAGCATGCCTCCACTGAAAAACCACCTATGAATGCCCATTGTGGGCCTTGCTAGGTATGACAGAGATACAACTGGGTATCAGAAGCAGCCTCTGCCCAATCTATTGGGGTAAGAGGGACAATACAGGCATAGCTTGGATATTGCAGGTTTGGCTCCAGGCCACAACAAAGTGAATATTGCAATAAAGTCAGTTACAAAATCCACTGTAGTCTATTAAGGGTGTAATAGCGTGTCTAAACAACATACATAAACTAAAAAACAGATCATGGCAAAAAAAAAATGCTATTCTGAGCTTTCAGTGAGTTGTAATCTTTTTGCTGGTAGAGAGTCTTGCCTTGATGTTGGCTGCTGCTAAGAGTAGAATGGCTGAGGGTTGGAATGGCTGTGGCAATTTCTTAAAATAAGAAAATGAAGTTTGCTGCACTGACTTTCACGAATAATTTCTCTATAGCATGCAATGCCGTCTAATAGTATTTATCCCATAGAACCTCTTTTAAAAATGGAGTCAAGCCCTGGCCGGTATTGCTCAATTGGACATCGTCTCATTTAGAGTAGGGTTATTACTTGGACCATTTCAATACTGTTATGTCTTGGGGAATAGGGAAGCTCAAGGAAAGGGAGAGAGATGAGAAATAGGCAGAACAGTCGGAACACACACATTTGTCAATTAAGCTTACCATCTTATATGGGCATGATTCATGGCACCCAAAAAAACAATTGTTATATCAAAGATCACAGATCATAACAAATACAATGATGATTTGAAATATTGCAAGAATTACTACAATATGACAAAGTGAACAAATGCTATTGAAAAAAATAGTGCCAACAGATTTAATCAACACAGGGTTGCCACAAACCCGCAATTTGTAAAAATTGCATTATCTGTGAACACAATAAAACGAGCTTTGCCTATACAAATATATACCATTAAGTTGAGATTGTGGCCTGAGCTGACAGCCTAGACCTAAATGAAGAGGTGGCGCTGCAACCAGCTTGAGTTCACCTGTCAGGATGGTGAGGCAGAGGGAACCCTCTGGAGGCTTCTTGATTCGGGGGTCATGACTGTCCTCGGCCCAGCCTGGGGAAGTGAAGGCAGACAAGGATCAGGGCCAAGAGGGAGGGATATCTCGTCACTTTCCTCTAGGCCAGTGGTTCTCAACCTTCCTAATGCGGCAACCCTTTGATACAGCTCCTCATGGTGTGGTGACCCCCAACCATAAAATTATTTTCATTGCTACTTCATAACTGTAATTTTGCTACTGGTAGTGAATCGTAATGTAAATATCTGTTACATTAGATAACAAATATTGCAGGTTTGGTTCCAGACCAGGCTGTAGAGCCTAAGAGCATCGGAAAGCACAGATATTTACTTAGCCTGAGATGGCTCTGGGCACAGCCTGCCCTTTCCTCCCCACACTGGAGCAGAGCTCTGCCCGTCCCTGGAAACCTTCCCTCAGGTTCCTCACCTGGAGATGGGCCAGGACGACGTGGCGCTGGGCAGTGCTGTCAGGATCCACGAAAACACAGGAGAAGTTGGTGTTGAGCAAGGCGGGGCTCAACTCCTCCAGCACCAGGGCCTTCTTCAGGTGAGAGTTGGCACCCCTGTTCTCCACGCTGCCGCAGGGAAGAAAGGCCGTGAGAGGACTGCAGGAGGCCGCCTCCCCCCATGGGCCTCGCCACCACGCCCCTCACCTGGTGCTGCCCTCCCGCAGCCCATACGGGAGGTGCTCGATGAAGGAACCGTTGCCCAGCCAGTAGAGAAGGCTGAAGTGGTAGAAGCGGCTACAGGCGGTACAGGACAGAGTCAGCGTTCCGTCTAGGGGCACAAGTGGCTGTCAGTCCTTAGCCCTTCCGTCAAGCAACCCCCCACCCTCTCTACTGTGGCCTGCCCACCCTCCCCAGCTCCCCGGTGCCATGACCCAGGAACCCCGAGTGCTGCTCGGCACCCCCCCCCCAAGTGCGGAGGTCCGTTAAAGCAGAAGTGCCCTGTCTGCCACGGAGGCCCAGGGCTGGGCAAGAGTCTGGGGGATATGTCCTTATTCAGGTGATAACCCCTGAGCTTGTTCGCTCAGGAGACCTTCTAGTGCCCAGCGTCAGTGACTGAAATCCCCAGCCAAGGAAGCAGCCCTACTGGGCCACTCCTCTTGAGGTGGCCAGAAGCATGTGGGCTCTGAGAGGAGCCCACAGCACTCGGCTCTGCAGCCTCTCACCTTCTCTTGTCTGAATTCTCTGTCCCATTTGATAGGGAGCACCTTGGGGGCTAGGCCCCATGCCCATACTCATAATGCTGGATGGGAGCAGAGAATGCCAAGTGCTCAGCCAAGCTGGCAGGGTTGGCAGTGGGCTACATGGCAGAAGGGCAGGGGTCAACTCCACCTTTGGACCCTCTGTGCTAACAGCCTGCCCTCTAACCACTGTGCCCTCCTGGGCTTTCCTCAGAATTGCTCCTTACTTTGTGAGAGTCCATCTTCTGGCCGGGACACCTCCAATGCTGGGCACCGCTCGGTTGCTGGAAGCGTCGTGATCCCAGCTGAGACTGCAGCGGCTGTGACGACCTGGGGTACAGGTGTAGCTCTCGCCAAATGGGAGACGATGTGGGCACACAGGAACAGGATCCACAAAGGGCTGGAGTCTGAGGACAGGGCAGTCACGGAGATGAGCAGCTGGACCGCCTGGGAATGCTCAGCGCCCGAGCTCAGGTCTTAGCCGAGGGAGTTGCTGCCTGGGTAAAGCTCTGGCTCGGAGATTCCTGGGCTCTGCTCAGGGAATTAGAGGGGCAGAAGGACCTTCCTGGCCATTTTTGAAAGGAACACAGGGAGACTGTGGAATGGAGCCAGAGCCACAGCGTCTGGACAGAGGCTGAAAGAGCGCAGTGGAGAGGAGTCGCCTGGGAGTTAAGGCTTGGGGCAACCCCACGGCTCCATTCTGTTTTCAGACCGCTCCCACCCCCATGTTCTATCCCCCGCCGTCCTTCCCCCCCACGCTCCCCATGCACAGCCCCAGGTCCCACCTGGTGTCCAGTTCCGTCTGGTGGTCATGATGCGCCCGGAGCTGTGTTCTTGGCTCTGTACGTGGTGACGGGACAGGCGGGGAAGGAGTGGTAACTATTCCACAATTCAGAAACTGGCCTGAGCCTCAGAACCTGCCCCCGCTGCTGCCTGCTGCTTCTCCTCCGTCCCTCCCCTCTTCAGTTCCCCTCCACTCTCCCTCCCCTTCACCCCCTTCCTCCCCCGCTGCCCTCGGTTCCGGCTCAATTCCGGCTCCGCTCCTCCGCCCTCAGGCAGTCGCACTGGGTCTCCCATCAACCGGGCCTCGCTGCCTGCCTCCAGGGGACCCACAGCTCATCGCTCACCCTGGAGCAGCTCAGAAGCCAGCCGCCTGTTCGACAGGAAACATGCTGGTTTCCCGTGCACGCCAACCCCTCAGGATAGACACAGAAACTTGAGCGCAAGGAGGGGCCGGGACTTACCCAGTCGGGAGGGAGATAAAGCTCTCCTCACGGAGGGAGCTGTTCTGGGAAGGGCAGGATCCAGGGAAATTCTGGGAAAGCACTGGCCTCCATTTCACTTTCACTTTGAATCTAACAGGGAACCTAACGCAGGCTCAGACACGGGAAGCCGCCTTGCGCCTTTACTCACCAGCCAGCATCAGACTGGGTCCGCGGGGACTTTAATCCACCACATCCGTACCCTCCAGGGGGACAAAGGGTCTGGACTAATGAGTCTCACAGTCAGTCCTTCCATCCCAGCGAAGGGTCAGGGCTTTAGTATCCACCTTTGCTCTTCAGAGCCTCCTGCTTCCTCCTCCTGTCACGTTGATATTCAAGGGAACAACTCTTGTAGGCACTGGGGGACTCCAGTGTGTTAGACCAAATTGACCATTTCATGTTCAATGTCACCCACGTCCATCCACATCCAGACCTTTCCCAGGCTCCCCACTCACTCCCCTGAACCAACACCCACCCAGCGCCATGATGAACTCTTCTCACTCCTCCCCTCCCAGAGCTACCGGTCTAGGCTCCCCAGGAAGTTAGATTCCCCCTACCTGGCTCCTAAGAAGCCCGAAGAGCCCTGCTTTTCGGAGCCACCGTTCCAGAGGGCCACAGCACAGGTCCTCTCTGGCCCGAGGGAGCCCCGCCACGGGAGCTGCGCTGAGAGAACTTCCAGACTTGTCCACAGGACTCGCAGAGCCACGCTGAGAGCCTGAAACGTGAGCTGGAGCCCTGGCCCTAGGAGGCACTCCCTAGGGAAGAGGGGAATGGCCCCACACTGGCTGGAGCAACGCTCTAGTCAGGCGGCTGATGGGCCAGACAGAGCTGGGACTGCGGCAGGGAATGAGCGCGGCACCCAGTCAGGGTCATGGAGGCAGAACGAGGGCTGGCGATCCAACGTATGCATGTATCAAGTGTGAAGGACAAAGCCCGAGTGACTGGGGTTTGTGACTTCTGTGGTCAGGAGGATAGGAGAGCTGGGGCCAGAGCCAGGGAGGCCAGGACCCGGGCCTGGCTTTTGAGGACGCCAGGAATATCATCTGCTGCAATCCAAAGGGGGCGTTACTGGTGTGGAAACCAGACTCATATTCCTAGTTTAGAGGCAGGAGACAAAGCCATGCATTCTGTTCTCCAGAGCTCGCTCTACTTGGCATTTTTTACTCTTGGTCCCTCCCCAGGAGCTGCTAGGCTGCAGGACACAGGGAAACTGCTTCCAGCAGTTAAGTCAGGAGGCAAGGCTGCCTGGGGCTCTGACACAGTCCTTTGGGGCTTGGGGGTGAGGAGAGGGAGGGAAAGGAGGTGGGATTCTACTTCGGAGTCACCAAGACTAGAGTTGGGCCACTGGGAGGTCCTAGGACTGAGGACTGGTGAAATATAAAAGAGTCTTGGACAGTTGGCTTCAGCTTCTCCCATGAGCCGGATGTAGGGATTGGATGATCCCTGGACCCTTCAACCAGCTCCCAGTCCACCCTGAGGATGGCATGAGAGAAGCCACAGCTGGGTAAGACAGCCCAAGTTGAGAATGGCTCTGAGAAGGGGTGATGGCAGGGAACTGACCTCAGGTGGTAAGGACACAACTGCCCAGTGGTGTCCCAGGGCCCCTTCTACCACAGGACAGGAGCCCAGTATCCCACCACCACCTCAGGGTCCTCGCTCTCAAACAGGACCAGCAAAAGGCAGCCAAGGCAAGGCATCCCCAGGGACCCCAGGGAAGGAGGTGGGAAGAAGAAAAGCAAGATGATGTTCAGCTTTTCAACCCAGCTCATGGAGCTTTATTCAGAATGGAGCGACATTCTTGGTTCTTGCTGCCCTTGAAGGCATTGGCCCAGGTGGGCCGTATTTCCTAGGGGCCCAATGTGGAAGGCCCATGTTTACCCTCGCACGTCCTCACAACTCCTAGGGCCAGGGCTGGGTCTCCCTGGAATCCCTTTCCAGATGCCATACTCACCTGGGCCTCGCCCTCCTCCCACCCACCCTGCCAACTCCCACTGCCAGACCCAGACAGGACCCATGAACAACAAAGCTGACATAGGGATGGCCTCTGGCTGGGAATCCCCTGCCAGCTTCAAGGGAACAATGTCTCATGTCTGTGAGTCCCTCTGTTACACCCACTCAGAGGCACACACCCACTTCACACAGGCTTTCCGGGAAGGAAATGATGCGGCTGAATGGCCTGTGGTATATACTGCCACTTCCGGGCACAGGGGGCTCTCAGTCATTGCAGCCGCCGTGGCCTCCGTTCAGGCCGAGCACAGGGCTGCTCCGGGCAGGTCACCCAAACTGCTCCTGCCCCCAAACAAATCCTCAATGCATTCTGAGGTCCCAAGGCTTCCCTCACTGGAAAAGTCACAAGGTTCCACTTGCCTCAACCAGCCTACGGCTCCTGGACGGGAGAAGACAGAAGATACCCTCACGCACAGGGCTCCTCCTCCGCTCTTCCTCACTGAGCCCCTTGGAGGGAGGGAGGGAGGGAGGGGTGTGCTGAGGCTCTCAGCCAGAGGCAAGGAGGCTCCTTTAAACCAGAAAGGTTGTGGCTCTGCCTCTGCCCTGCTCAAGCAGGGAGGGTGAGGCCTGCAGGAGTTGAGGCAGTTCCTATGCTCCACAATAAAAAAGGTTTTTAAATATATTCATCAAAATAGTTTTTTGTTTTTTTGTTTTTAAAAAAAGCCCCCACTGCTGGCAGCCCACTGGCTAGCTCGCCATCATATCCCTCCCTGCCCGGACACAGCCAGGAGGGTCCTGAGTGGCCCACGTGCCCCTTTGAGTCTTTCCCACCAGGAGGTCTTGAAGGGCAGGGGGGAGTGCGCCCTGAGGTCCATGGTGGGTGGATGCTCTTCTGCCCGATTACTCGAGGCCCAGGATGTAGTTGATGCCTTGTACTAGGCCAATGATGACAGGCTGCCAGGCTACCAAGTAGCGAAGCCAATCCAGCAGTTGCCCGTACATGACGTGGGGCCTCTCCCAGCTGCCGGTGTGGTAAAGGAAAGAGGCTGTGCACAGACCTGCTAAGGCTGGTCTAGGGGATGGTCACGGAGGTTTGCCCACATCCTCCTGGGACCGCCCACACTTTCCAGCAGCTTTCTAGAAAGCCCCACAGCCTCTCCATGTTGGAGTAAAGGGCTAAAGCAGAAAGTGGGGGGAGGATGGCGGAGGGGCCCGTGCAGAAGATGGGGATGGAGTGGTGGAACTTAGCTCTCCATGACCGACATGCAGAGAGGGTCATCCATGAAACAACTTCTCAGATGGACTGGCAGTGAGAGAACACAGCCAGAGGACTGTGACATTGGCTGCAGGGAAGCTGGGAGTTGAATAAGGCAACCCTGAAGGTTCTTGTAATGTCCAACATGAAGGCTTTCTAGGTCAAGGAAGAGGTTGAGTCTAGAGACAGAGGCAGAAGGGAGCAAGAGGCTGGTCACAAGGAATAACCCCTGGCAGAGGCCCCAAGGAATCCCTGTCCAGGGCACTAAGCCACTACCCTACTGAGGCCAACCAGCTCGGGAGATAGTTCCCTTCCTTCCACTTCACAGCTAAACACTGGGCAAGACGCCTGGAAAAGGAGGTTGGGATTCCAGGTCTGGGGAAAGCCCTGGGGAGAGGGAATCTCTAGAAAGGCATCAGAAAGGGCAGCTTGGCCTAGTTTCTGGGAACTAAGGGAAGCCCCAACCATCAGCTTGACCATGGAGTTACTACTTGTTCCTAAACTAGTCTCTGCGAGAACAAAGTAAGAAACCTAAAAGGGCCTGTCTCCTATTCAGGGAGTGGACTAGGAATGCAGTGGCTCCCACACAGCCCAGCTGGTGTCCTAGGGACAGAGAAATGGGGCAGCTGAGAGGAGAGGGGAGAAGGCTGGGTCCCTGGATCCCAGGGGAAGTGCAGGGGCAGGCAGAGTAGTGGCTGGGCACTTTCCAACAGTCAGGCTGTGAGGAGAATGAGGAGGGGGAAGGTACAGAATGAGGAGGGAAGGCTGGCCGGGGAGGAAGTGATAGCTCAGCGGAGCGTTAAGTCCTGTGTTGATAGCTGATGGGCACAGGGAGTCCCTCAGCCATCCCTGCACCTACAGGCCCTGCACAGGCACAGAGCTGGTCCCCAGGCCTGTGTGTCATAGATAAGGCATCATCATGCATTAGTCATATCACCCCAAACAAGTATCCAACATCGTAACTGTTTCATCTGTAAAATTAGAATATCATGAGGTCATTAAGTTTCTAGAGAAGACAATTGGATCCACATGAGAGCACTTAGCACAGTGCAGGTATTATATACGGTAAGCAAGCAGGAAGCGGTAGCTGCTACAGCTACCAACTTAGCCTTAAGCCTTCTAGAGCTACGATGAGAAGTGAGGCATTAGTCCTATGCCATGTCCCATCCCAATTTCCTGGATCTGAGGCCAAACAGAATGGAGGACATGTACCAGGTGGGAGCAGGAGGGAACGCCCAGGAGGACCCAGTGCAGGGTCACAAGGCCACAGGAACGCACAGTAAGGATACGGGTTGCTGAACATCCTCTTGAGGTCCACCTTCTCTTTGCAGTAGGGACACGTCTGCTTCTTTCCCACAATGCACCAGCCGCGAATGCAGAACTCGTGGAAACTAAGCATCACTGGTCAAGGGAAATACTGTGGACAGCCTGCGTGGCACCCAGCTCTGTGCTGATCTCCAAGGTGCCCAGGCACTAGCTCTGGAGAAAGGTCCCAAGCCTGGCTTCCCCTCTTAGCTTCTGTATAATATTAGGCAAGTCCCTTCTCTCTGACTCTTTGCTCATATGTGAATAATCATCATCATCATCATCATCAACATCTCTACCTTACAGGATTGTCAGAGGCAAAACGGAGATAACATAATACATGGCACAGAATGGGAGCTGAGCAAGGACATGACAAATCTTAGATATTATTCAGGGGGATCTGATTCTGAAACTGAGGGATCCAGTTAGAGGATGCTGCTCCTGTGACCCATCCAACCCTGGGGCAGCTAGTGTAGCTTCAGGCTCCTTCCTGGTATGCCAGGCTATGAACAGCATTTACATAAGAGTGGCTCCCATCTGTGGGAAAGAGCAAGCAAGGATGCATTTTCTACTCCTGGGTATCGGCACCTCTAACATTCAACATCACCCAAACGTCTACCATCTTGTGACTCTCCTACACTCAGAGGCCGGGCAGCATGCCCCCTTCTCTCCCTG